GGCACCGGAAGAATGCAACAAGCCCCCGTCTCGCTTCCCACGCTGTATCCTCTGCAGCTGCGAGACCCTTCACCGTATCAACTAGTTACTTGACCCAGTTGCTGCCCAGAGGCACTTCCCACCCGAGATGACCTTTTAAAGCAGTCCTGAATATTGCCGTACTGCCGGCTGGTTTTACGTCGGCAGTTGCAAAGGGGCGGACACATGCACCCCTGATTGATGGAGTAACAGAGAGCCAGGAGCACAGCCAGCGTCACACTGCGGCCGGTCCCTCCGTGGTAAGCGAACCCCAAAACTTCAGCTTGCGGAGCACGGCAGTAAGGTCCGTACCCAGTACGGTTGGTACCTAAACACCAACCTCGGCATCGTCTTGGCCTAAGGTGAGAGGGGTCAAGGGGCTCGCAAACCAACTACCTATATATACATTCGGTGAAAGGCAGTCTACAATTTCCTCCGATGGGTTGCTTTAGTCCTCCAGGCTTTCTCATCTCCTGACTCGCACTCAAGTCCAGTACGTCGCCATGAAACTCAGCAAGTCCGACCTCAGCGCCGCCCTGCTCGCCTCGGCCCTGCCCGTGGCTCAGGCTGCGTGCAGTCTCCCGTCCAGCTACAAGTGGACTTCGACTGGCGCTTTGGCCCAACCACGGTCGGGCTGGGCTAACCTCAAGGATTTCACCTACGCTCCCTACAATGGCAAGCACCTCGTGTATGCCAGCTACTTCGGAGGGAACTATGGCTCCATGAACTTTGGTCTCTTCTCGGACTGGTCTAGCATGGGATCGGCGAGCCAGAACCAGATGAACTCGGCCACCGTCGCCCCTACGCTCTTCTACTTCGCCCCCAAGAAGGTCTGGGTCCTGGCCTACCAATGGGGTGCCACTCCCTTCTCGTACCGCACGTCGTCCGACCCGACCAACCCGAACGGCTGGTCGAGCGCCCAGCCTCTCTTTTCCGGGAGCATCTCCGGCTCCGACACTGGACCTATCGACCAGACCCTGATCAGTGACGGTACCAACATGTACCTCTTCTTCGCCGGCGACAACGGCAAGATCTACCGCTCGAGCATGCCAGTCGGCAACTTCCCCGGCAACTTCGGTTCGAGCTCAACCGTCATCATGAGCGGCAACAAGAACGACCTCTTCGAGGCCGTGCAGGTGTACACGGTGGCGGGCCAGAGCCAGAAGACGTACCTCATGATCATTGAGTCGATCGGGTCGCGCGGCCGGTACTTCCGGTCGTACACGTCCAACAACCTGGGCGGTTCGTGGACGCCGCAGGCGACCAGCGAGAACGCGCCCTTCGCCGGCAAGGCCAACAGCGGCGCGTCGTGGACCAACGACATCAGCCACGGCGATCTCCTCCGCACCAGCGCCGACGAGACCATGACCATCGACCCGTGCAACCTGCAGCTGCTGTACCAGGGCCGCTCCGGCGACAGCAGCGACTACAACTCGCTGCCCTACCGCCCCGGTCTCCTCACCCTCCAGGGCGCTACCGGCGGCAGCCCGAACAACCCCGAGCCCACCGGCGGCACCAACCCCGGCACCGGTGGCACGGTTCCCAAGTACGGCCAGTGCGGTGGTAGTGGTTACACCGGCCCGACGACCTGCGCCAGCGGGTCCAAGTGCACCTTCTCTAACGAATGTGAGTTCACCTCGTCTTGATTTGTTGCTCATGACCCCCGCTTTTATGGATGGCGTTTTGCTGACAATAAGTTCTGTAGGGTACTCTCAATGCCTCTAACGAGTGATGGACAAGCATGAGAGGCGCGGACTGTTCGGGGGGCGGGGAGCGGTGTCCGCCAACCATCCGTAGAAGCGCCGGAGAAGAGGAGCTGGTTTAATTACTTTCAATGTGTATAGTGGCATATCTCGTACATACAATCGCACGTACTTTATGGCACTTTACGACCTTGAGATTTGGTATGGAGTCATATAGCGATTATATTTTCCTCGATCCGCGTAACTGTATAAAGGTATAGTTCGTCGTTTGCCTCGACCTGGTTGGTTGCGGTAGCCAACACGACACTCTTTTGTGGTCTCCATGATGATCTCACCCGCCGGTTTGAAATCCGGGGTGCTCTCTGGATACACCCAATGACATAACAAAGTCGCAACGGTTTTGCAGACCTTGAAGAGCATATGCCAGGAACTTAACCAACTAATCAACCGAGGCTGGGTTTCAGGAGGTATGCAATCATCGGGGATATGCCGGTATCACTTGATCACTACAGCAACACTGCCGGTACTTACTGCCCCTTCGGATTTGCGGCTCGGGTAAATATAAAGGACCGGTTCTCTTTTTGCACCACAAACATGAAGCTTCGATGGACGGTTTCCGCCGGGTAATCTCTCAACTTGTGCAATTTGACGGCGCCAGGGTGACGCCAGCAAGCAATCAAATTCTCAGAGCCCTCGCGGCCTCACTGGCGAGGGTCAGAGCCATGCTACGAAACTTGAAACCAAGTTGCTAACTTCGGGACTGCAAGGGTTTACCTCTTCATAGCCCCCTTATTGGCGCGGTAGTGGATGCATAGAGTGTGCTGTGTGGTGCTATGGGAGAAAGATTAAAACGGAGGGGTTAAGGGATCATCGGTGCGCCTGATAGCTGGAAGGGATGGAACAAACGGACACCTGGGTGACATTCAAAAATCGACTGGTAAAAGCCATATGGGAATGCACCGTCTAGTAATTAAGAGTCATGAGAGCAATACATCATCTCCTTGCAACCGGGATACGAGCCTCAATACCAATTGGCTTTTCGTGTAACGCCAGCAGCAAGGCGCATGCCTTAGTTAGGTAGGTACTTGTACCCTGGATTTAGGGGGGGGGGGTAATGGGTTGGCATGGTAACTGGCTCTTGCTCACCAAGAAGGAAGATGTAAAGCACCCGCAACTTGACTCTTCCCGCATAATTCAACCCCAAACGCCCCCTCTTTATTCTATCTATCTCTCTATCTACACAGCCTCCTCTACATCCCGTACTCGGGCATGATCTCCGTGATGTTGCTCTTGCCCAACTTGTCGGTCTCATCAA